CAAAATATAGAATATTCCAATTTGTCCGTGGGAATGCAACAAAATTACAAAAACCAACGACTGATTCGATGTAAAACATCAATTGAAGAATTTTATTCTTGTTTTATATTATAACTTTTGTTTTATATAATCTAATTTATTGTATTTTTATGTCAAGTATTTTGTATAATTAATACTATTGTATTCAATTTTACTACTACTGCGGTTCAGTGGTGTATATATGTTAACCATGTATTTGCCTGATGATGGCTATTAATAGCCGAAACATGTAGCAGAGCCAAAACTAGGCACTAATCTTGATATTAGTTGTGTTGTGATGGTTGTAATAAAGAAGTTGACTATGATAATGTTGTGTGTTTAGGTACCACCAGCTGAACTTGAGGCTGTTTTGCTGACTCACTCTACAATTAAAGATGCTGCAGTTATTGCAGTCCCAGATCATGAAGCTGGAGAATTGCCCTTAGCTTTTGTAGTGAAACAGCCTGGGGCAAGAGTCACTAAGGATGAAATCATTAAATATGTGGCAGGTAACACCCTGACTAGTTGGGTGGTTTAAAAATATTACTTATAGATACATATATACCTATATACTTACTTACTCACTCACTCATGGAGCTGAGCCCTTCTGGAGGAGCCGCCAATTCTGCAGCTACTCAAGAATTTCCCAGCATTTTATGGAAACCGAAGGTTCGTTACCGTGTTTATAAGAGCCCTCCACTGGTTCCTATCCTGAGCCAGATAAATCCAATTAATACCATCCAATCCTATGTCCCTAAGATCCATTTTAATATTGTCCACCCACCTATGCCTTGGTCTTCCCAGTGGTCTTCCTTCTGGCTTTCCCATCAATATCCTATACGCATTCCTCATCTCCCCCATTCGTGCTACATGCCCTGCCCACCTCATCCTCCTTGGCTTATCATTCTAATTATACTTGGAGAAGAGTACACGTTATTAAGCTCTTCATTATGCAGTTTTCTCCAACCTCCTGTCACTTCATCTCTCTTCAGTCCAAATATAGATATAAAAAGATGTTAGCAAACATTATGGACTGTGCACAAACACCAATATTTTAACCAGATACAGTTGCAGTACCACTGACTGCCAGCCTAATTACACACAGACAGAAATGTGGAAATACTAGAATATTTCAATAAACTTTGGTTAAAATGAAAGTTCAGCCTTGTTTCTAGCACTGTTATTTGCTACTTTTTAATCTGTTGCATTGCATGAAAATGTGTGTTGGTATGAAGTGATATTCTATACTTCTACAATAAGTATCATATATATATATATGAGATGATTGTGTGTCTATTGTCTCTGTCTCTCTTGAATAGTGTGTGCGCTAAAAGATTGTCTCTCTTCCCCTTGTCTTCCTCTTCTTCCTTCTCCAAAGAATTTGTATTTTATGTGGGTCAGTGGACAGAAAGTCTTCAACCCATTCTACTTCCCACCATTTTTCCTGTTCAGTTTCTTGGCAGCTGTAAGGTTCAGAGGTGGAATAAAATTGGATTTCTCCTAGGCAGAGCACCATAGATGAATGTTAGGAACAAGTTT